CCCCAAAACCCCAAAACCCCAAAACCCCAAAACCCCGTTTTTTTGTATCAGAATTGAAAAGTGGTCGAAATTTGTAGGGTAAGATTGGAAAATTTGGAATTTTTGGGAGGGAGGAAGAGAGGGAAAAGGAGAGGAAGGTGAAAGAAGGGGTATGGAGGATAGGATGGGTGTAAGCCTTATGGATGGAGTAATTTAGCATCTAGATGCTTATTTTTTCTATTTGTTCTTTGTTTTCTTGATGAACTTTTCCAGAGATTAGTACTTCTCCTGATTCAGAATCAAGTCTCATGATGAAGTATCCTCTGTTGGCAAATCCTTTATCTTGATAATACTGCTCTTCATACACGTAAGTCATGTTGTAGTTTATATCGAACTCCAGGGTCTGATTTCTACCATCTCTTACCAAATTTAAAGGCCTGAAGAAAGCTGAATTGCAAAAAGGATCAGAAAAGATGTAGCTATGTCCTTCATAAGCATTTTCTGTGTAATTGTGAGCTTCTCCATTCTCGGATATGAACACATCGAAATGCGAGTGGCTAATGGTGTGTTCTTCAACTCTGGCAAATTGATCTCCATAGAGATCTGCATCAATTGGAGAATTCTGAACTCCGAGCCCAAGGAAATGACCTGCAGTTAGAGTATTGTTGAAGTGAAGATTGCTTCTGGTTTGATCAAGAGTGATCTCGATCCTTGTGGAAGGATTTATAAAGAAGATGGCTCCTGAAGTTGAGCTAAAAGAGGGTAAGATAAAGAATGAATCACTAATTATAATTTCAAACTGATATTCAAACTTCATTCTGGGGCTAGGCAGAATGAATATTGTTGTGAAAAAGAACATGCAAAGCATTAAGAGAATTCCTAAAGCTTAACCTGAGCAAACCATGAAAGAGCACAAAGAGAAATTAACAATGGAGAGAGTATGAATAGGGTCTTAAACAAGCACCACAATTGTTTTAACAAAAGACTTAAATGCTATTGTGAATTGATTTCCCAATTTAGTGTTCAGAAAAAGAGACAAAAAAGTATAAACAAAATGCAAGTACGGCTCAACAAATCAGAGTTCCTTTATTGACTTACCCAATCAATGCATAAAAGATCACTATTGCTGTCACAAATGCTTTCATATTAATATTTATATAACAACTTGGTTTCACTGATATACCTTGCAGAGGGGTTTTGGGGTTTTGGGGTTTTGGGGTTTTGGGGTTTTGGGG